TTCGAGCTCCTCCTGCTTTGGCTAGACTCAAGCCCTTAATCACTGCCTCGTACTCGGCTTCATTATTAGATATCTTGAACCCCACTTTAGCCGCAAATTCCAAGTAATCACCTTTGGGAGTTACAAGGACAATTCCCAATCCTGCCCCTCTTCGGGCCACAGATCCATCTACAAACAGTTGCCATAATCCCTCTGACTCCTCCTCGACTTTCGTGCCTTCCTGGATAAAAGCAGCCAACACTTGTGCCTTTATAGCTCTCCTTGGCTCGTACATCAAAGAATATTCACTCAGTTCAACCGCCCACTTTACCAATCAACCAGAGACTGGTGGCCTACCAAGTGTTTCTCCCAGCGGCATATTTGTTCGCACCTTCACCTTATGATTCAAGAAATAAGGTCTTAACTTTCGAGCAGTTACAACCACAGCTAAAGCACACTTCTCGATCTCCGAATACCTCGTCTCGGCCCCCTGCATGACTCTACTCACATAGTAGATAGGGAATTGCGCTATTCCTTCCTCTCACAACAACACCAAACTCACAACCCTCTCTCCAATAGAAATGTATAAACTCTTCGCCCTGTATGGGCTTAGCCAACAATGGAAGGTTGGCCAGCACCCCTCGCAACTCCTCGAATGCCTTCTGTGCCTCCTCTGTCCATTGGAATTTCGCACTCTTCTTCAACGTTTTGAATAATGGGCCGCTCTTCTCCGCCACCTTCGATATGAAATGACTCAACCCCGCTATTCGACCAGCTAAGATCTGCACTTCTTTAACATTCGTCGGCGACTTCATCTCCATCACAGCTCGAACCTTCTCCGGATTGACTTCAATACCTCCCTTGGTCACCAAGTAACCCAAGAATTTTCCGGACCTCACCCCAAAAGAGCATTTAGCAGGATTCAGCTTCATCCCATACCTTCGTAATGTTAGGAACGTTTCTTTCAAATCTCGTACGTGATCCAATTCCTCTTTACTTTTCACCAACATATCATCCACATACACCTCCATGTTCCTACCCAGTTGATCCTTAAAGATTTTATCGACCAACCTTTGATACGTGGCGCCCGCGTTTTTTAGGCCGAACGGCATGACCACGTAACAATAGGTCCCTCGACTCGTTATGAAACTCACCCGCTTCCAGTCCTCTCTCGCTAAGGGGATTTGATGGTATCCCTGGGAGGCATCCATCAGGCTCAACAGCTAGCACCTTGCCGTTGAGTCGACCAGCTGGTCAATTCTGGGCAGCGAATATAAGTCCTTCGGGCATGCTTTGTTCAGATCGTGGAAATCAATGCACATCCTCCACTTCCCTTCCGCCTTTGACACCATCACCGTGTTCAACAACCATTCGGGGAACTGAATCTCTTTAATGTGTCGCGCTCCCAACAGTTTCTCGACCTCCTGCTCGATGATCTTGTCCATCTCCGCCCTGTTGGTGTTATATACTTAAGCTTTGCTTTAGTGGATATTACAGTTGTTATTCCTTGATGAATGAGAATTATGTTTGGTTAAATAAGTTCCACGTTTTGTTGTTTTGCATGTAGA